TAAAATATAAATACACACACACACACACACACATATATATACACCAATTTATGCAAGAAAACACAGACACACACTCACACATACACACACACAATATATATATATATATATATATATATATATATATATATATATATATATATATATACATATATATATATATATATATATATATATATATATATATATATATATATATATACACACACACACACACACGAACACACACGCGCACACACATACACACACACACACACACACACACATATATATATATATATATATATATATATATATATATATATATATATATATATATATATATATATGTATGTATATATATATGTATATATATATATATATACATATATATATATATATATATATATATATATATATATATATATATATTATATATATGTATTTGTATGTATATATATATATATATATATATATATATATATATATATATATATATATATATATATATATATATATATATGTGTGTGTGTGTGTGTGTGTGTGTGTGTGTGTGTCTATATACAAACACATTATATATGTCTATATATATATATATATATATATATATATATATATATATATATATATATATATATATATATATATATATATATATACACGCATATACTCGTACATGTCATGTTCCAAAAGTGTCATGGAACTATTTCCCTCAATTTACTTTACTCCAAAAAGGTTCTCCCTCCCTCTGCATGTCATTTTCGATTTCCTCATAGTCACTTCCTTGATTCTGAAAGAGGACGCGAGGCAATTATTTTTGTGGATGTTTTCCGGAGTATTTTATGATTGATATAATGAGTATAACACGAAAATAAACGTAAATTATGAGGAAGACTTCAGGACACTTTCGCCTCCATCATACCTAACATCCGCATACATACTACAGAGTTACAAATACACAATCCAATTTTTTTTTCTTTTTTTTTTAGCCTAAAAATGCATTATTACGTTTCCGTTCATCTAATGAAACAGAAGTCTCATGAAAGTGGATTTTGAAGAAACAATGTGGTGTGTCAACAATATTCATCTTTGCTTGGCATAAACATAACTGGCCTGCCCCCCCCCCTCCCCCACCACTACCATCCATCCATTCCTTGCTTGTTGGTGTCGTGGGGGGCTTAGGAGACTGACGCCCAATTTCGAGGATCATCCGTGCCTTGGACCTCAGCCCTTGCCTCGACAAATTTTGTATTTTTCTTCTCCCCCTTTCCTTTTCCATCTCTTCTTTACCCTTTTCTATCCACTTATCCAAATCGTTAATTATTTTTTTTACCCTTCTCGCCACAATACTTTGTTATAATGCTATACTAAGACTTACCGTATCGCAGTATTTTGGATACGCTACTAATGACAGACAATTTTTTTTTTCGGTAAATAAATAAAGAACAGATCCAGAGAAAAACTTATAATATTTGCTAAAAAATAAAATTATTAATCTATAAATGATTTTCATATATAATTTTGCGGCAAGAATTTTCCCTTGACTTTAAGAGTAAAAACCCCCAAATATAAGTATTTCATCACGTCAAACCAGATGAGAAATGACTTGGGTTACGGAATAAACTTCTATTTGAAATATATATTTTTTCAGTCGATGAAAAAAAAGCTGTCATCATTATTATTATGAAAATGCTCTGGCTGTTGGAATAGCCGTCATCACCCCTGTGAGGAGGGCCACAACAGCTCCGACAGCACCCGGTACTCCTAATTTTTCAATCTACTTGCCAAATTCTTCTGCCACACTTCCAGGGGCACCTACAACCACAGGAACAACCTACGCCTTTCTCAGCTGCCATAGTCTTCCAATTTCCCTTCGCAATTCCTGGTATTTCTCCACTTTTTCCTTTGCATGTACTCTTCCATCGGCGGGCACTGCAATATCCACAGTTATACAGTTTTTTTCCTTCTTATCGGTTATAACAATATCTGGCCTCCTTGCCTCTATCACGTTGTCACATTGTATATTTATGACCCACAACAATTTTACACCTTTGTATGCTCATGCCATCTTTCCTTATGTTCTAATACATCTTTCTTACAGTTCCTAATTAATATTCTTTGCTACATTATCATGGTGTCTCTTGTATTCTTTCTGAGCTAATTTCTCACATTCACTTATTATGTGTTATACGCTGTCTCCTCTCTTTTCACACATCATGCAACTCTTATCAATGTGATGTTTTACATGACAACGTCTCTGTTTCAACTTTTAATTCATTTCTGGTTAACCAATTCCAGGTTTTGTCCTTATCTTCCTCCTCTGGCATTTCCCTGATAATCTGCCCATACATCCTTTTCTCCGTCCATTTTTCTTTAAGCTCCTGGGCCTTCTGTCGTTTAAACTCACTCTTACTGATGGTACCTTCTGTCTTAATCGTTCCTGATGCACAAACCCCCTGAATCAAGTTTTCGGAAGAATTCATTACGTAAAAGTCCAAGTTATTTTCCTCTCCTCTAACACATGTACTATGCCTATCAACCCTCTGTCTCCTTCATGCCTCTGTAAGTACAGTCTGTCCGCATCACTCTAAGGATGAAACGCACCATATATTGTCATCGTCTTTCTTGTTGTTCTGTCTACACTTTTCAGTTCACTTTCTTTCCAATCAAGGTTTCAAGTTCCATATCTGAAGATAGAAACTGCCCATGTATTCATCGCTGTAATTTTATTATTATTGTCATGATTATTATTATTATCATACTTATTATTA